TGCCAGCCAATGAATTCATAGAACAGGCGCAATATGCCGTGCACGCATGGAAGAACCAAATCGAGGAGTGCAAACGGCTGCTCGACGAAGCAATATTGCATGCGGCACAGCCACAGTCTACCGATAGCGGTGATAACCCAAGCACCAGCGTGCAGCATATTATAAAAATTGTTAAGCAACCTGAAGAGACTGACTCATTCCGCGTAGATGATGCGGCACCAGCGGCCGCGGCATCGATCACGCCTGTACGTAGTCCTAAAGAAGCTAGTAGTAGCCACGCTAGCGTTAATAATAATAACAACAAAAGTGCTGATGATAATGCAGCTGCACTGAAAGCTAGAAATAACCTAATTTCTACGCTTAAAATGAGCAACAAAAACGATGATAAACTTGCGGTTTCCAGTGCCGGTGCGAAGTCGGTGCATGGCGACAATAATAATGATGCCGATACCGATATTAACGACAGCACCAACAATAAACGCAATGAGGATTCGAAAAAGTGTCGCAGTGGCGATGAAGAGAAGAAGCAAAGGGGTATACCACCGCTGCTGAGTGTATTGCAGGGTATGGGATTTTAGTTGAGGATCTATGCATGTGTGCTTTATATTTTATATTTTATTTTTCTTAAATTTTTGTTATGTATTTTAGATGTATGTACGTGTTGCGTGATCTAACGTGTTTATTTTCGATGCTCAAACATTATTTAAACAAATATGTTTTATTCTTAATAAACTGAGAGATTTCAACTAACTGAAAAATATTAAATTTATTTTACTCCTACTATTCGAGTCTACTCCTACAACTTAATGGGATTTTCAGTATTCCAAACCCTCGTTTAGAGCCACCCTGTAGTCAATCACGACGAGAGCGTCAATCGAGCGCCATCAGAGAAAGGGAAAGAGAAGAAAATAAAAGGACAAAGACGTAATTGCGACATATGGCATATTCAACATGGCGAGAATAAAGTTTGAGAACATTCTCAGTTGCATAGTTCCAGAGGATTTATAATTGACGATAAGATCGTATGCCAAGTATCACTTTCACCCGAAAAAGAGCATACGGAATACAACTCTGGATGGAGCCAAACTTCTATGAAAGAAGGTATAATATGGTCAAATGATCTCTATGGGTTCTACGACTCGAACACGGAGAGGCCAACACATTCTCGTCTCCAGAAGACTTGAGAGGAGTTTTAGTTTCTTAATGTGAATTAAGCACATTCATTTCCGAGATTTATGCTTATAAGGACTGTTGTGAAGAGTAGTGGGCATCTCATATTAATTTCTTTCTATCTACTTACTCTATTTCACTGGTTGGTTGGCTGTGCGTGTAGCACTGTAAAGAGTTCACTCGGAAGCCACAAACTCCCATAGAGAACCCAAATGGTTTGCCCATGCACATCCCTCCATGTTTTTAAACCTTTCCCTAAGCTGTCTAGGAAGCTTTCGAAAAAGTGGTCCCGCAGAAGAATTTGAGTTGCTTACTTCGGAGCGCAGGCCACTCGCAAAGGAAGTGTTGGATGGATTCTATCTCATCTTCATTTCTGCAGCTTCCGCATAAATCGTTATACGGGGCTCCGAGCCTGGTGGCCTATGGCCCAGTGCCGCTCCTTACTATTCCTGTGAGAAAAATAAAGTTTGGCTTTGAGAACCTTATCAAACTCCGTCTTCTTCGTTCATCGAGTCGTGGCCAGGGCGAGCGTAATACCATGCAGGTCTGCAGATTTTTCCAGCTGCTGTTGGTGACTACACTGTTCACTTAATCAACTTCTGAAGACGGGAATCGCAGCGGAGTTTTCACGATCTGAATCGCTTCCCCTAATGCTATTTCAAATCCCTTTCAAGCACACAGTAAAGATTGATTATGTGTTGTTGAAGAAGTTGCGTTTAGTAAGGGTTAACCCCGATGATTAATTTCTGTCCACATTGTTGATTACCGATCGTAAAATCTCAATGACAGTCGAAATGAATTTCACTACTACCAGAATGACTAAGCCATCTGCATACATAACGATCTTAGTGCCTTAGGTTGACCACCTTCCCGCGGTGAGAGGACCCAAGTATGGCAGAAAAAGACATAACATACATATAAGGTAATAGACGACCCTTACTGATGTTCGGCCTGGCTGGTGACCCAGATCAATAACGAGCCGAGTCTCTAACGGAGTACTCCGGATACCCAGCGATCTCCGCTTCTATCTAGCCCTACCTGTGCACACGAACCTCTGGTGCGGTCGGACCTCCTTTTTCGGATACTCAAGGGACCAAAATTATGAGTGAAAACTGCTTAAAAAATATCAATAAGGAGTACGGTCCTCCAAAAACCCCCAACAGGGGTAGCTTCGACTTCATTTACAGCCTTGAGCACAGCAGAGGTCAGACCGCCATTGATTGGAGGTAGAGGGATATTTTTGTGTTTCACAATGGACCTGCAGGGTCTAAGTGAGTTGGCCTTTTGGACTGACTGCCCCATTAATCTAACCTGCCCTAGTACCTTTGCAAATAAGGAAGAATTCGTTTAGCATGAAATTCCGTAGCTAGGGAGATAAAATGTGCACCGCGTATATCTGTTTCTGCTTCTGGTACTCAAATATTGTCGATCTAGAGAGTGATTAGTGGATCCAGTTCTACGGCGGCCGTGGAGGAGTGAATGAATACCAAGCGCCTATTCTTTGTGATATGTTACTGATAACCCGAAACTAAAATACACGGTTCATTCATCTACAAGCTCTCGTAGGGCGAGCTTATTACCATTTCTATCTCAATTTCTATTTATATCTTTCCTCATAAGCGCATATGCACTTTAGATTAACAATGCTCTTAAATATATAACCTCAATAAGCAAAATAGGCCAGCTTCTTTGAAATTACACCTATTCATTGCACATGTCCTCCAAGGTAATGTTCGCACGAGTAGCTAAACATTTACATACATATGCATGCATGTGCCTTAAATGTACATATGTAAGATCAGTGGGAAGAAGCCCATTACCGACACGACACGTGGTAATTAAGCTTTAAAATTAACACTTTCAATGCTCGCTTATGTTTATATGTACATGGACATAGTACATATATTAAAATTTCTTTACGACTTGCATGCATTTTGTTAGTGCAGCTGGAATATTGCTAAAGTAACATGTCAGAAATTCGAGAACATTGGATGGGGAGAGGATCCATGTGTGGTGCGCATGACCGCTCAAGGCTTGCCGGATTGAGTGTTAAAGCGCATGGGGGAACAAGTGTTTAAAAAATATTGTTCAAAAAAATATTGTTGAGTTTTATAATAAATTCTGTAAAGCGAAATGGATTTTAACGCTTTTGTAAAAATAATTCTTCTTCATATTTCTATGCCATCAACTAGCGTTTCGTTAATCGTCACAAACTAGCGTATACATTTTGGTTATGCTGCTTACAGGGCAATTCTGGCCATTGTCTTTCAACTCACCACAGTCTTTCGAAAGAAAAAAAATCTTTCGTAAGTTAATTTTCAGTTCTTTCAACTATCTTAAAACCTCTTTACTGCCTTTCGAAAGACCAATTGAAAGATCTGCTCACGAGGAGTTCTCAGCTTTATGCTGTTCGCCTTTTAGCAATAAGTTTTTCACAAATTATATATAAATAAATGAAATAATAATAAAATAAAATAAAATACAATTTAATTAATAAAATCAAAGAAGAACAACAAATCAAAACTAAGCAAATATTTTTTTTAATAAATAAAATTATAATAAAATTGGTCTTCTTAAAACAATGAAATCTCAAAATTAAATGAAAAAAAATCAAAAAAGAAGAAAATAGTAGATAGATACTTAAAAGTTAAATGAAATAAAAAATATATTTTTCTGTTGAAAACACTTACATCTAAAAATTAAAAGAAAATGAAATTAATAAACGAAAAAAAACGAAAATAAAATAGTTCCTAAAAATCAAATCAAATTTAAGAAAATATTTTTTTCTTAACAACAAAATCTAAAAATAAAAAGGAAATTAAACTAAAAATTTTAAAAAAAAATTAACCAAGAAAACAAAAAAGATAAAATAAATGAGAATATTCTCTTTGAAACAATAACAGCTTAACATCAAAAGAAAATTAAATTGAGAGAGATAAAAAATAAAACTAAAAAAGAAAAAAATATATGTATGTAAAATAAGTTTCTAAAAATTAAATCAAAATTATGAAAAATATATTTTTCTTTTTACAACAAAAAAACCTAAAAATTAAAAAAAAAAGTAAATTAATATGAGAAAAACAAATTAAAAAATAAATGCCTAAAGTTAAATGAAATTAAAAATATATTTTTCTTTTCTTAACAATAAAATCTAAAAATTAAAAGAAAATTAAACAATAAAATAATAATAAAATAAACTAATCAGAAATGGAAAAAAGAGAAAATAAGTTCCTAAAAATTAAATGAAAATAAAAAAATATTCTTTCTGAAACAATTAACATTCAACAGCTTAACAATTAAGAAAATTAAATTGAGAAAGATAAAAAATTAAATTAAAAAAGAAAAAAATACAGAAATTAAGTTTCCAAAAATTATATGTAATTAGAAAAACATATTTTTCTTTTTAAAACAATAAAATCTAATAATTAAAAGAAAAGGTAATCTAAAAAAAATATACATATGTTAACTTAATAGAAAAGAAAAATAGAATCCGCTGCTCTTGGATCCGAACTCCGATCTGTCGAATGACACTCCTGTACTTTGCTCACTCGGACATTGCGACTGTTGGAGGGACGCGAGCTAAATGATGTGCAAGTGCTTTCTCTCAAAATAGCTTTTCACCGCGAGTGGTGAATGCGAGAGCTTTTTTAAGACTTTTGTTCTAGAATAACTATTAATAATAAGTCTTACGAAAGACTTTTTACTATCTTAGCCAGAATTGCCCTCTTAGTCCCCGCTAAGTGAGTACATACCCCCACTCATACTGCTACACAGTCATCTGGCAACACTGCTACTGGAAATCCTTGCTGGATTATTATCCTGTCACCAAGAATTTCTGCAAATTAGCTCGGACAAATAATTTCACAATTTCATTTGAGGCGTCGAATTGAACGGTCGACCTGGAAAAAGCACCAAGCAGAGAAGTGCAACACCGAACAATAGTTCCCCCTTCAACCACCGGACGCCACACTCTGGCGGACGAGTCACAAACATTCACAAACGCAGATATAAAAACAAGTGGAACATTGGCTAAGGGTGTCATTACAAATTCACCGTTGGAAGAGTCGATGCAAAAAAATAATTGACATAGAAAAAAACAAAAAAAAAAACTGGATGCAGACTGTGAAGGATAGTGAAAATATAGAAAAACTATTTGGTGTTTTTAAGTTTTGTGAAAATTTTTGTTAGACTTGTATATCGGTTCGGTTAAGCATTTTGTGTGGATTTTCTTAGCTGCGTTGAAGTATTTAAATTTGTGTGTTTTCTACCAGTTTTCCTAATTTCTACGTCAAATGTATAAGGAAATAAATCTTTAACTCAACTAACCGCAGCAAGCGTAAATTATCTTAAATGTTGAAACGCAAACGTTATAAAAAACATAAAAAGTATTAAAAGTTAAGTTCGAAAAAAATAAAAAAAAATAAAAAAAGTGAATATTTAAACAATTTGTTGTGGAAACTTTTGCCATGAACCTCATACCAAATATGAGCGATAAAATGTTTATATTGATTTTATTTTATTATAACGGTTCATATAATTGGAATAAAAAGGTTTAAGAAACTTACAGAAAAAGTGTAGAACATTCAGTAGAAACGCAGAGAAGCCGCAGGAGAAGGATACAAGTGTAGCAGGTTAGTGAAAATTGCTTGCTCTAAATATATGGAAATGCATAGAAAAATCGGTGAAAATTTTGATTTTCTATATTAGTAAAATTTCTTCATAAGGGTGGGGCGAATTCCTACGATTGTCATTTCTGTGTGTAAGAGTCAGCCATTGTTTCTTTGTTTGCGATTTATCGATTTTTTGGCAGACGCATTTTTTTTTTGTCAGACATCCATTACAATAAAAACGAACTTAACACATCCATACATATGTACGTACTTATGTGGAGTATACTCGTATGCAGAACAAAGAAGCCACTTGCTAACTACTATGTATTTGGGGTTATGGTACACGCGTCACACTAGCTGTGCTAAAATTGAGATAGTATTGAGTGTAATTAAAAAAAAAATATTAAAGTGTTCCTATCACTTAAACTGTTGCCAGTCAGATGTACATATTTTTCGCCATAAATGAAATAATGACATCTTATTTGTGAAAATTCTCGTGTTGTAAATAAACCTTCATTTTGACAGTTCTTTTACGAAGGCTCCCTAATATAATTAAATGCTTTACGATTTTCCGGATTTCGAGAGACATTTCAAGGTTTTCTCTAGATTTTGTCTTTTTCGGCATTCTCCGTGTTTCGGGATTTTTGAAGGATAACTCTCAGATATTTCACTTATATTGAAAATCGTATATTTGTTTTTGACAGAATGATTCTTTGCACTTTTTCTGGATTAATTAACTATGTTACAATTTAATCCACTTCACCATTTGGCGACTATGCTCAACGCAAGTCCTGTTCAAGAAAACTACACATATTTTAAACGATTTTGGCATGCTTACAATGGGCTTTATACCAAACTTATCGAGCGGCCCCAAATGGTATATTTTTGACAGAAACCTTGGGCGAATGTGCAGCATTCGTTTGCCTTCTAGAAGACATTGACGAGACGATACGATTTTAAGAGAAAAAACCAATTGATTTTGTATAGTAAATGCAGAAAAACCAGAAATTTGTTTAAGCCACTGGTTACTGGGAAATGGACAATTGAGAGAAATATCCATGATTACCGCTGACCACAGTTTACAGTGATAGCCCGGCAACCATAAAGGCTCTGAAAAATACTTGCGGTTCGTCAAAAGTGCTTCATGGTGACTCATGAATGAAATTCCATAAAATTTTCCACCTTATTTTTAATTAGCCGCCACTGTCGATGGTAAACGAGAATGAGAAAAGACTTTGGAAAGCTTTGTTTATACGAAGTTATTCGTAAGTAACCATGGAAACATAGTAGATAGCAAGTGGTAAGAAGAAAAAACCAATGCGGTCATATATTTTAGCCACTCCAGGCATTGTTTTTTATTTTTCCTCCTTTTTAGCGCAAGAGTACCTCAACGCGCTCATCAAAACATTTTAGGAGAGAGAAAATTTCAATGGAAGCATACTTAAAGGGCGCTTGCGCACGTAAATGCCAGCAAATAAGAACAAGTAAAGAAGTATATGTTTGGGCGAAACCGAATTTTATATACCCGGCGCAGGTATCAAGTATCGTCGTTTCAACTTTCTCTCAACTACATTTGCATGATAAGCAGGGGTGTTTTTTCCTGATTTCAAACGTTTTCGATAATATGCTGACTTAATGAAAACATTGAACCAAGTTTGGTAGAAATCGAGAAAGCGGTTACCAATTCCTAGAAGTCTACAACAGTCTTATTTATTGTTAAGAGATTGTTGAAAGTCTTAACTTGAAGTAAATTAGTGTATTCAGTTTTTGAAACATCGGAGTTTTCGTATTTTTTAAATTTACCGCTATACGGGAAGGGGTGTAATTTTAGTCAAATTTTAATAATTGTCCACAAATTACTTTTCCGTACCAAGGTTATAAGGTGCACCAATTTTGGTTGAATTTTATGAATTGGTTACGGAGATACTCATTTGTGGTCATAAGTGAGCGGCGCCACGCCCATTATCCAAAAATGTATAATAATACCATTTTCTGCTAAGTAAGTTATTGCAGTCATCGATTTTGAGCGAATAAGCTNGTACTCATTTGTGGTCATAAGTGAGCGGCGCCACGCCCATTATCCAAAAATGTATAATAATACAATTTTCTGCTAAGTAAGTTATTGCAGTCATCGATTTTGAGCGAATAAGCTCCAATAATTACTGATTTATCGCAGTTTTCGTGTTTCTGTAAATTATCGTTATATGGGAAGTGGGCGTGGTTATGTCCCGATTTCAAAGATTTTAAACAAATTTCTTAGTTCCACCCTAAGCAAGGCTCGGGCCTTGGGTAAAGGGCAACCTATATACTAAATTTCGTTGAGATATCTCAATATCGTGTACACGGACGGACGGACGGACAGACAGACATGGCTGCATCGACTTCGCTTTTCATTCTGATCATTTATGTATATATTTGTCTATATCTATCTCGGTTCGTTTTGGCAGTTACAAACAACTGTTATGGGAAGAAAATTATAATACCCTTGTGCACAAGTGCGCACGGGTATAAAAACAAAAGCCCAACCATTACGCAGAGGTACTTTCCAGCGAGAGAATTTATAGTAAGTTTTACTAAAACAAAAACAATAGCAAATCCAATAGCAGCCACAAAATGCCAGCAACAAATGCTAAAGCTAAAACAACAACAACTAGCGTATCATTTGTTTACAAAAATATTTACGATTAGTGGCACGTGATGGCCGCACGAAATGCTTAAAGAAGAAGAAAAGGAAGCAGCAGCAGTAGTTTAACGATTTTCCATGTGTGAAGGATGTGTGTGCGTAGGTTTGAAGAGGAGGATTAGCGGTTAACAGTGCCCAAGTGCTGCTTGAAAAGCCACTTATGTATATACATAGGTATATCTATGGATGTTATATGTATGGATGTACATACATATGTAAATACATGGTGTCCGCGTAAGTGGTTAGCAACAACTGCGGCCATAATGTTATCCTTATTTTACGTTCATTGAAGGAATTGTCGCATTTGTTTTAATACGCATGGTAAATATATGCATACTTGCGTGTACATATAGGGTGGTTCAATATGACCGCAGTTTTTCTTCTTTAAATAAAACACAACCACATTTTTCGAAATGATTTTTTTTTATATTTCAGATACCCAGGACCGTAACCGTTATGATTTGTATAACATTTATTTCTTAGATTATTTTTAATTGTCATTTGTGTTTTTTTTCGATCATCTCTAATCGTTATTTTTTTAGTTAATTTTTTTGGATAAATTTTTTTTTCGACAATTTTTAACCGTTATAATAAGAACTGACTTTTCTTCATAACTGATTTAAATCTTTTATGATCTTAAAAATCTGAAATTAACGGTTATAACTTGATCGAAAATATAAAAATCATAAGATAATGACTAAAATGATCGGAAAAATTAAAATCGTAAAATAACGATTAAAAATTATCAAAATAATAAATCACGAAATAATGATTAATTTTAATCGAAAAAAATAAGAATCTTAAAATGATAAAAATGATCGTAAAAATTAAAAAAAAAATCATAAGGTTATTTTTAATCTTTGTTTTTGTTATTTTATGGCCTTATAACAATGATATTCAACAATTTTTTTTATTGAGCTTGAGGCGGTTTTTAATGAAAAACTTATTGTGGAATCCTACTGAAAGAAGTCTGATGAGGAAATGTGGTGATTTCCGAAATAGCTATCCCTTCTACCATTTTTTCAAATTATTGTTGCTTTTCCACAATAAGTTTTTCAATGCGTGATATGCGAAAATAATTACGATCAAAGATCTGCATCAGCCTTGAATCACCCTATATTATGCCGAATTACCAAAAATTTACGCCATTTAAAATCAGCAAAAAAAAAATAATAATAATATAATAGATTGGCGCTTACACTTATGTTAGTTTTTGGCCGAGCTTCTCCTCCGATTTGTGGCGTGCGCCTTGATATTGTCACACAAAGCGGAGGGACCTACAGTTTTACGCCGACTCCGAAATGCAATTGTATTTTTATGAGAAGCTGTTTTTCATGACAGAAATACACTCGGAGGTTTGCCATTGCCTGGTGACCGCTGTTAAGAAAACACCTTTTTTTTATTTTATGCGATGTTGCTTTGACCAGGGCTTGAACCCAGGTGTTGCGGAGTGGACGCGCGCACTGCTTACCACTACACCACAGCGGCCGACGAAATATTAATAATGAAAAAATGTACTTTGGAAGGTCCGATTGAGTAAAAAATCGCCTTGACTTTAAAGCAGACCTTTGTTTTTTGCCTAAAACCCGCATATAATTAACTTTAACAAAATTAAATGAGTTTGTGACCACGGAAATGAGTTTCTGGACGTAAGAGAAGGGTTTTAAAACTTTTTTTTTTTAAATTCATTGCCTACTCTTTTCTGGTCAACAAAAAAACTTAAACCTTCTCCCTTTGAACGAAACTATTTTTCCTGAATTCTTCTTCTCAAAAGCTTTTGAATACCGATACATTTTCTTCTAACTCCCGAAATATGGAATTTTGTCACAAACAAGTTAATTCGGCACACTGTGCGTCGCTTACGCTCACACATGAGTTTGTAAAACTTTCCCACGCACATGCATGGCCACGCGTGAATCAAGCACTGTCACTGCAAAACTCACGTCACGTGCGCATCTATAACGCATATGTATGTATGGATATTACCAGATAAGTACATATAAGCACATGTAAGCAATAATAAAATGCCACGAATAACACGTTACATGAGTTACACATTTTGGCACCGGCCGGTATTTGCATCCAGCCGCACACTCTTTACTGACTCATGCCAAGAGAATGGGACTAAAAAAAAATTCTGGCTCATGCTCACAATAGCAAACGATTTACAGCTATTGACTTCGTTGTTAGCTATATTCTTTACCATAAAATTAAACGTATTCTTATCTCCTTCCTTCGCATATAAAAGCTATTAGTGACACCTGCTTTCTCTCTATTGCGCTTCAATTATTTTCTTTAGAAGGAAGCCGCCATTCTCTTTGGGTGAATTAATAAAAAT